CCTTGTTTTGTTTCAACAAGGACACACAAAGTGACAGCCACATGCATACCCATGCACAATCAAACACACACTTACACAAGGGACACTCTGCCGCTGCCGCTGCCGGCTCTGCTGCTGATGGTGCTGCTTCAGTCGCCGCATCTGCCTGTGACACTGACACTTATGCAATGCGAAGCAGGGCGCACTCAGAGATTAGTGCTGCGCTTCCTTCCGCCGTGCCCCATTTTGTTGGCAAGCCAAAATGAATGGCAACCTTGCACTTTGCGCCCACGACAAAACAACCGCAAGGATTGGTGCCATCTACTACTCGTGGCGCGGAAATTGTGGGCGAGCTACAACTGGCGGCTTAATTGCGCGTTAAATCAGTGCACGGCGGAGAATGGGCCAAGGCGCCATTTTTTAATGTTGATGCTGCATGTGCAGGAGCAATAAATGCAGTCTATGTACTGCCGGGCTATTAAAAACTTTAATTGATATTGTTATCCAAAAAGCAAACGGACAAACGCCAGAGCAATGAACAAAACAGGGTGACTCAAGATTTGATAGCAAAGGCGCAGTACCATTTGATGTGGGCTATAAAAACCTCTTTTGCATGAGTCACCCTAATCTACTGTGTTGCCTCATGATTATAAGTCAGCGTACACATGTGTGTGGATATGTGTGAGTGTCCGTGTGTGCACTAAAGCTCTGCCAGACAGCGTGCTTTGTTTGCATGTGTGTGCGTGTGTTTGTGAATGCTTGCGTCAGTTTGTATGGCTTGCTGTGTATCAATTTTGTTGTTGCTGCCAATTTTAGCCGCCGCCATTGTTCAACGCAATTTGTATACACGTGTGTGTATGTGTGTGTGAGTTGTTGTTGTCAACGTCAACGCTTTTGCCTTTTGCACATTGTGTCGCGGCTGCTGCTGCTTGATGTGACTGACGTTTGTTTAATCTGCTTAATTTGCGTTAATTTAATCCTGACCTGCGAGCATGTATCTCTGTGTGTGTGCGTGTGGGTATACCTAAATGTTGTCGGTATCCATTCATCCTGTTTATATATGTATGTATGTGTGGGAGTCTATAACCTGTTGGCTAAGTTCTTGTTACAACTTATATAATTTCTTTGATTTTAATTAAAATCTACAATTACTTTAAAATTGAGGCTTAATTTCTCTCCATTATATATTATTATTATATATTATTAGGCATATTTATATTTCAATATATTAAATAACTAATTTTTAGCATTAATTACGAACAAACAAAATTATATTATTCCCCAAAAATGTTTGTCTATTTTTAGCAGCTTTGTTAGCGTGGGCGATTTCTTGGGATTTTCTTATTGGGAATTTTGAAATGTGAATCTATATTAATTTACGTCACTCAAACGTCGGCAGCAGACACAAAAGGTGACAAAAAGCGATGGCAAGCCATAGCCTCCATCCTGCTTCAACACAAAAGAATGGACAAACGCAAAGCCAATGTGAGATAAAAATGGCCGTATCCCGGCCCATGCAAACGTTGGAAAGAGATGGATTCGATTGTTGCTATTGCAGCACCCCGCTAATATGAAAACTGTCAGCCACAGGTGATTTAATAACAAGACGCTTACGCATACAATCGCAAAAAAGCCGCCAGATACACACAGCACACAGCACACGCAAACGCACACACATACATATAAACTGAGATGCGCAACTTGATGGCGTTAGCGCTCGCCCGCTGCTTTTGTCTGTTCTTATTGATTTGACAGCTTACAATTTCTTTGTGTGTGAATGTGTGCGTATTAGTGTCCAGGCGTCTTGTGCGTGCCTGCCACAATACAAATGCCAAACAAACAAGTTACCCTGTCTGTGTGCGTGCACTTGTATATATGTATGTGTGTGTGCGTTTACCGTTGTCTTTTAGTTTAAAAAAAAAAAACACACACACACATACACACATTTTTTGGGAATGGCGAATTGGGCAAAGTTTTGAGGCGAACAATGAAAAATGCGTGGGTAAGGGCAAAGGCAAAGACAAGAGATAGATACGGTGGGAGACCGAGACAAAGAAATGCTATTGGCCATGTAAAAAACGACGCCATAATTACTAGCCATAAAAACGCGTGGCGAAAGCAAAAGCAGCTGAATAACAATTAGTGTAGTATCAAAAGGCGGTAATGGCAACGCCAACGCACACACAAACACGCCCACACATACACGCCCACACACTCACACTCACACACTCACACTCACACACACACGCGTACACAAGTACACACGTTGAGTATACGTAATAACTTACAGTTTTGTTATTTCGCGCTTCATATGAAAATGTGAAGTGAAAATATATTTCTTTTTTTGTTTTTGCTGTTTGTTGTGGTGGCGACTATAGTTTGTTGTTTACTTTATTGAAGGCACTGTAATTTACAGTTAGTACTATTTTCAGTTTCTTTGTTGCTAATATCGTTATTGCAGCGGGCGCGTCTTAGTCGTTGTTGTTATTTTAGTTTTGTTTAAATTTTCGTTTTATATATATCAAATACACTTTTAGCAAATATTTTTATACTTATTTGTTCGTAGGTAAAATTGTTTTTTGTTTTCTTAATTTTAATAAAATGTTTCTTTTTTATGTGGGTGCGTGCGTCTGTGTGTGTCTGTGTCAGTGTGTGTGTGTGCGTGTGTAAGTGTATGTGTGTGTGTGTTGGGAAAAAAAAAAACTAAAATAAAAGTCAATGTGCTGCGTGCAGAAATCGTTCCTCAATGGCGCACATTACACGAAAGGACTACGGCGGAAGACTGTCCTGTCTAACAGTGAAAATTGTGCTGAAGCCAAGCAAATACAACCCAAGACAGCTTAATCCAGAGAGCGAGCGAGCGAAAGAGAGAGAGAGAGAGTGAGAGTCAGAGCAGAGTTCGAAGTTAAAAGTCGTGAGTAAGGCCGAAAGCTTTTGATTGTTGTTGGGCCATGGCAGAGCTTTTTCAGTCTCTCGAATGCTTAACTTTCGCTTTCATTTGTAATAGCCGCAAGGACCTTGCTGAACTTGTGATAAGAACTTAAATTTGGAAAGGAGCCAAAAGGAAAAATAACAAAATAAATAAAACAAAACCAAAAATG